CAAACATTAGGATAGCTTGAGAAGTCACTGGGGTTCTCCTCTGGATCTATGACATCCCCTAATTATTCATCCTTTTGACTCTACAACAAAATGTTCCAAATTTGAATCAATCCCCTTTCACACCTCTACGTCCAATCTCATTGAAAAATCCTATCCTTTTGAAATACTTGAAGAAAATGTTTCCTGATTTTTATCGAGAGTCTTCTTAGGTGACTTTGATCATTTAAGATATAATTAACTATAGGGGTTTGTCCTTATAGGAAGCATGTCTGAACCCAACTTAATATAAACCCTATTTAATTCTTTATATTAAATATGCGAACTTGTCGGCAAATATAAAGGTGTCGCAGACCAAACGGATGTTATATATTCCTTAGTTTATTTGATCGAGTCTCATCCTCAAATCTTGTGTTTGTCCTTCGGGATAGATACAAAATTTGAGATACAGTGCTCTTTCATTTAAACTATGAAAAACATGGGGTCAGTTGGATTTCATATTTTTCTAAAACTAAATTTATATGTAAATTAAAACGTCCTTCCGAAGCAGGTGACGGGATTTCGATTCTGATAACCGACAGCTTCTTACGGGCAACTCTCTAACCAAAAATAGCGCCAACGGCTTCTAGCGACTCTGCTAGGGATCGAAGAGTGAATTTCGAGTTATGAAATTTCAGGTATTTATAAAGGATGAGAATCAGTGTGAGGTGATGACTTCGAAGATTGAGAGTAGGATGCCATGGTGGGGGTCTTATCCCTATATCGAAAGGTGTGAGTAGAGAATTGGACGCCGTTGAGGGGACTTACACCAATCTCAAAGAGGTTGGTAGAGAATTGAAAGTCGTGGAGGGGACTTACACCAATCTCGAAAGGTGTTGAGAATAGAACGCGGTGTTCCATAAAAGGGAGTCTTATTCCTATCTCGAAGATGTAAGTAGAGAATTGGAAGCCATGGAGGGGTCTTACACCAATCTCAAAAGGTGTTGAGAATAGGATGCGATGTTCCATAAAGGGTAGTCTTATTCCTATCTTGAAGATGTAGGTAGAGAATTGGAAGCCGTGGAGGGGCCTTACACCAATCTCGAAAGGTGTTGAGAATAGGATGCGATGTTCCATAAAGGGGAGTCTTATTTCTATCTCGAAGATGTAGGTAGAGAATTGGAAGCCATAGAGGGGCCTTACACCAATCTCAAAAGGTGCTGAGAATAGGATGCGATGTTCCATAAAAGGGAGTCTTACTCCTATCTCGAAGAAGTAGAGAATTGAAAGCCGTGGAGGGGCCTTACACCAATCTCGAAAGGTGTTGGATAGAGAATTGGACGTCGTTGAGGGGCCTAACACCAATCCTCGGATATGGGGAGTCAAAATTTGGGTACTGACCCCAAGAGTCACATGTGTAGAGAGTTTGTGATGTTGAATTTGCAGAAATATGTCATGTGGACAGGTTCATTTTGTTGAAGAAAATTTGTAGAGCTTTGTGGGATTTTGTGCAGAATGTGAAATTTTGCGGGATGTGAAAAGAGTTAATGCAGATAAAGATGGTTGTACTGCGCGCAAAAAGAGTAAGAAACCCAGAAAATGAGAGAATCCACTCAACAGATTCGTTTTCTTTTCTTGTTATTTTTATCACATTTAATTTTTTAAAATATGTCTTTAAAATTTTAATTTTAATTGGTTGATTTTTAAAAGAAATTTGTTTTGTTGTTTATTTATTGGTGACTATTTTTATTTAAATTTTATTTATTGTTAAAGATTTGTTGTTTCGTTCTTTGTTCATTGAAATTCTGAACCAACGCGTGGTTCGTGGCTTTCATCCATCGCACAAAAAGGCAACCGACAAAAAAAACATATTTTTGAGAGAAATT